GGAGCACCTGGGCAGGTGGCAGCAGACACGTCCTGGGACCCGCCTGGGGCTCCGCTTGGACCGAAATGAAGATATTCCGACGTGAAGATTCAGATGCACCGACGCCTCGCGGGGAGGCAGAGCGACCCGGCCCCGTGTGGCTGTGGATTCCGAGACTGTGGTCTTGTGCGTGGGAAGGTGAAGAGCGAGCGTGTGGGCCCGAGGAGCCCCCGATGTGATGGCCTCACCAGTCGGCCTGCACGTGGGCCCACGGGAAGCAGAGCTCCCCGCGCGCACGAGAGAGAAGCAAGATTCCTAGCCCTTCAGGCCCGTGGCAGCGGATCCGGGGCTCCGCTCTGGTCCTTGGCTGACCCTGAAGGTCCAGCGGGGGGCCCGGCTGGCTACCAGACAGCGGCCAGGCCCGGTGTCCTGGCTTCCTGGTATCCACGGTGAGGCTGTCAGGATGGGGAGTCGCATTCTCGGCCGTCGGGCGTCCACGCCGCACGTGTGCCTTCCTGGAAGGGCAGCCCACGCTCCTCTCCTCCCCCGGCTGTGAACTGGGGCTCCGAGTCTCCCAGGAGCCCCCCGGAGGCCGAGGACGGAGCAGGGCAGGTGCCTGGCCGGTGGGTCAGAGGCTCCGAAGGAAACCCGCCCGGAGAAGCAGCCCATGAACGTGTGAGCAGATGGGAAAGAAAAAACAACAGCCAACAAACCAAAAGGAAAATAAATAGGCAAATGGGAGGGGAAAAAAAACAAACAAAACAGAAACAAAACCCAAAACTAAAAACTAAAAAAGTAGGGTTTATTGGTGCTCGTGTGCGTGAAATGAGAGGGCTCAGGACTGAGCGCCGTCTGTCTCCGAAGGCTGTGATGTCACGGTGGGAGGCTGTGATGTCACGGTGGGAGGCCGTGATGTCACGGTGGGAGGCTGTGATGTCACGGTGGGGGGTGGGTCTGGCGGCTTCTGAGCCCGGCACCTGCTTACTCTCTCCAGCTTCATCTTTGCCATTTTTTTAAAAAAAAAACCTTTTACAGATCGACTTAAACATTTTTTTTTTCTTTTAAACCACATGCTTCTTTTTCTGGGCTCCAGCCAGATCTCGGGAGGGGGGGTGTGGGGAGCGTTGGCAGTGGCGATGGGTCTGGAGGGGTGTTCCGAAGTCCCGGGAGCGCCGCCTCCCCTGGATGTCCCCGTGGGACCGTCTTTCTCAGAGATGCTCCTGAGAATCGCGTGGGCTTTGGCGGACGCGTCTGCCGTCTTCCGAACCGTCCCCAGCGAGCCCGGGAGTCCCTCACTGAGACGAGGAATGAAGGGGAAGGCCCGGCGTCATCTTCTCGTCTTTTCGCCAAAGTCACGAGAGGAGGCCGGCGAAGGGATGCTGGGGACACGCGTCCCCCGACGAAGTTCTCAAAGGTGCAGCACCGAGGAACCCTCCGCCTTCCCGTGCCTCCACCCCCTCCCCGGGGGCCACGGCTGGGGTGGGGGAGGGCGGAGGGGTGTGCACGGAGCCGCTGCCAGCGTCCGTCCTGCCGTTTGCCCGTCCGTCCGGGGTGACAGGGCCCGCGGGGCCCTCAGAGCGTGGCCTGGAGGTTGGGGTCCAGGATGGTCTCTCGATCCGGGGACTCGATGTAGTTGGCAGCCTCCTGCAGCTTCAGCAGCATGGCCATCTGAGAGGGGCAGAGAGGGGGACTCGTGAGAGCGGGGACGCCGTCCCGCCCAGGGAAGGGGGTGGAAAAAGTCTCCACGTTGCCCTGGCCGGGGTGGCTCGGCTGGTTGGGCATCGACCTATGAACCAGGAGGTCACGGTTCGATTCCCGGTCAGGGCACACGCCCGGCGACCCATGCACCAAAGGGTGGCCGGTTCGATTCTGGGTCCG